GATAATTCTGAATTCACCTTTATCTGGCCCAGACGATTTATGAACCCAATACATCCCATCATTAGTTTCACGCCATAGCTTTATTTCATCATCTTTTTCTTTCTGCGGTGTACAAGATAAGCGTGAACTTTCGACATATATGAGCTCGTATTTTTTTCTATCATGCTTCATTACAAACATAATGTCTGGCCGTCTTCCTGTTTTCCCATCACCTTTCCTATCTGCACTAGCCGAACTTTGACGTTCAGCACTAAAAGAATAATATTCATATTAGTATAAAAGTTTTCGCAATACCATTTTCCTAATTATATTATAACTTACGTGCTAACATAAGATGACCTTCCTAAAGGGAGACCTTTTAATGTGGCCCGAATAGCAAGTACTATTACGTTGGTCACATAAGTACCTTCATTTTGTGATTTCATGAACTCAGAGCTAAAGGCAGGATTATTCCATGAATTGTTTAGAGAACCCAAAATTCTTGATGTAGCGTCTGCAAGTTCTTCATCTGATTCTTTCCATTTCCCATTATGCGAAAGTTTTTGTAATAAAACACTTTTATTACTATCAGCAAAGTTAATTATGAATTCTTCACATTTTTCCCATATAATTCGTGAAAGTGATAAAGGAACCATATCATCTACTGGTTTCTAAAGATAGCATAATGATAAATTAAAATGATGCCTAGGCTAGATCAAAAAAAACATGTGATTGTATATAAAAAAGAATTTTACCATAAAAGATTCTCTCAGCCGTTCTGGTAATGTTTACATCAGATCTGAATCATCGCTAATTACTTGGTTGGCCAGAGGATCTTTTCAAATCAACTCAGAAATAGGCACTGCATTTACACCTGAAAATAAATTCTGGTAAAGCTGAAAGGTATTTTTTCTGAGTTTACCCTTCAGTGCCTTAATATTTTTTTCAATTTTGTTTGAAGTAAGAGGCCTTTTCCCATTCATTTTCACCGCGCTGATATTACGTAAGCTACAGACTGTTTAAAACCAATTTCAAACTAATGCAGACATACAATTAATTAGCCCTAGGGTATATATAAATAAATTATCAAAGACGCATGTGCTGTCAGATTAAAATAAAGCCCTATTCTCGCATGGTTAGCTACTCCAACACTCAAATAAAGACTTTATGCGATACTGAAATAATCATATTGAATTAAGCATATACCTATAGCCTAACTACCCTCCACACTGCCGAGGAAAAATCCTATGAGTGGGCTAGTAGGATATTTAATCTATTAATGCTTTCTCCCTCAGAATGGTATCACTGTCTGCGTTATTCATCACTCAAATAAATTCTCTATTTACTCAAAGTTTTATATCTTACCTCTGGTAGAATTTCGAGAAGAGTAGTATGACGTGAGGAGCCTCGTTCATATTGATTCTTCGCAAATGCCACAGCCCGCTCGATAATACTTTTCAGCTCGTTTTGAGATATCCATGGGTTGTCTTCGATCCCTTGATAGATAACAGACCCAGCAGTAATGTCCTCTTCCTCGGCATTTAACAAGAAATTATAAATTTTAGTATGTAAATCGGTAGGCATGATAAAAAAAGACTACAAGGTAAAAATATTCAACTCCAATATACTACTCAGCCCTTTTAAAATCTTCATTTATGTCCTCTCTAATTCGCATTCATGTTGGAGGAAAGAGATAGGTGAAATATGCAAGGCACTTTACGCCAAAATTTTGTGTTAGAGAATAAGGGCATGTGGAATGTGTATTGAAGATCTCAATATTTACAATGGCGTTAGGGAATATGTATATACATACTTTTTTTATTTCACTTGCCCGACCGCTCAGTAATAAAGGTCTAGTAACATTATATAAATATACTCTGGTTGAAATTTAATAGGAATAGCCTATAGCTCTGGAGAAAATAAATTCATAAATAAATGCTATTCCGATAGATAGGAAAAAAATTCAAAATATTTTTTGGGGATCGACTTATATGTGAAATTATTTTGTCGCACAAGCATAGTTTCACAGATGATTTGCAGACTATTACATATTACATCATATATACTTTAACAAGGATCAGAAACACGTTTTATTTATGTCGCACACGCCTACATGTATTAGCTTTGAGGCACTTCACTTAGCTGAACAGTATATTATTTTATTAATATAATATTCGGGATCTGAGTCAAGGTTTGATCTGGAAAATTCGGCGCACGAACTCACTATTATCATCCAAATTTGAGAAATTCTCAAACTGATAGTTATATTGTCTCACAATCAAGAATCCCCAAGAGCATTTCATTGATCTTCCTGAACTCGAAAAATACTTTATTAAAATAGATTAGAAGATCTAACCCAGAATAGACAGATCATGCATAGCGCGCAGATGATATATTTACTAGGCGATCATACATGCAGATTATGTAATTATTCATTTCGTAAAAAAAATAAATTATATCATGAATAAGTTATGTATTTATGTATAGTGTCTTTGGCTAAATATAGTTGAGATAAATAATACTAATATTCAATCGAAAGATAATAAGTCTATTTCCATGCATAGTACCAGTATTAGGATCTTTTGACTTGGACACTCAGACATTCGCGAGCTAGGTTCACCTAACCAGCATGAAAGCTGTGTCTGGCCCATTTCTCAATACTACATAGTACTTTTCATAATAGCTAATAGTACTTATCAATTCAAACGTAAACCTTCTTAAGAAATCGGGAATAGATCCGTATATTGCCTTATCTAACCGTCGTCTTAACTGATGTTTCTTAGCTTCTATCCATTTACCAAGAGAATAATAAACATATTCCTTATATGGTGGAGTGAATTTGGCTGGATTGATTATTTCAATGTACTTTGAGTAATATTTTCTAAAATAAACATAAAACTCATCGCAAGCTTTGGCATACTCTTCTTGCATCTCAGGATTCATTATCTTCTGATTTTCCCTAATCATACCTAAATATTTCTTTCTATCAGGAGTATCATCATTTCTCGCCATATTCCAGGTTCGCTGGGCCCTTGTCTCAGGTCCTAACTTATAGCTCCACCAAGCCTGTTGGATAGCTTTCGCACTGTTTAATACGCGATATGCCATTCTTACCATAAATTTCTGCCCTTCAGGAGTGTTAGAAGCAGTACATTCATAGCTTTTTTTATGTGATAAATAAACTCCGTAAAGCTTACCAATCTCATCGGGACTAAGTCTTTTTTTAATTTTTCGTTTCAATAATATAGATCTAACATATACGATGCGTCTTAGCTCTATTTTAGAAATGCATTCGCTCAGATGCTTATTTGCGCATTTCTCAGTATTATCACAGATAAATACTAAGGAATCACACACAGTGCAATAAATATGAAATGTACATCTTCCAGGTCTAAATTCCCCATCTTTATATTCTCTTTCAGTCATGTGAATAAATTCATTCTTGGAGAAGAATTTA